CTAGCAAAGGGACAATATTTAGTGGTACTCGTAGGAATAGAGCTAGAATTATGTTTAGGTCTAAAATTAGTTTTAAGATTACAGATAGAGTTGTGATTCTAGACACGGCTCCTGTTAGGTTTATTGCTGTGGCTATAATAGGTGTGAACTTACATTTTGGGTTAATGTTAGGATTGGGGATTAGGTTAGAGTCTGTGTTTATGACTAAGGTAACTGAAGCAAGGGTTAAGGCTAGAATTACGGTAGTGCCCATGTTAGGTCTAGTGTTTTGCTAGAATTCTGTTTTGTCTTGGGTCCAGGTGTATGGTTAGATTTATGGTTATTTTAGGGTTTGCGTTAGATAAATGTCAAGAATTAGCATTAGGACTAGGGGTTACTGGAGTTAGGGTTATGGTTAAGACTAGGTTTAAGGTTTAAAATTAGGGTTTAGTTTTAAGTTATGGTCAGAGCAAGGCATAGGTTATGGCTAGTTTAAGTTTAGAATATGCATTATATCTTTCTTTTTGTTTAGAGTTGGGGTTCATTTTAATGTCATATTCTAAGTTTAGGGATAGAGTTAGGTATATAATTGTTTAGAAAAGTTTAGGGTTAGGCTTATGTCTAGGGTTAAGATTCATTTCAAGTATATGGTTAATGTTAGGGTAACAAAATGTTCAGGACTTAGGCTAGAGTTAGGTTTTTAGCTAGGGCTAGTGATACACTTGTGACTAAGGTTAGGGCTAGAGATACTCTTAGGACAAATATTATAGCTAGACTCAGGGTTAGGTTTAAGTTTATGACTGTCTTTTGGTTTGGTCTAAGTTATCATTAGAGATGTGTTTAACACTTGAATTAAAGCTCAGGTCAGGGTTATGGCTGGTTTACAATTATACAGTGTTAGTATTAGGATTTGGGCTAGGAGCAGACTCACTCAGGTCTACATCCTGTCTTATGGCTCTGATTAGGGTTAATGGAATGAATAGGGTTACATTTAAGGAGTGGGATAGGTCTAAGATTAGGCTTTGTTCTGGACCAATTTGGGTTAGGATATGGCTAGTTAGGTTAGGCCTTGGGTTAGGCTTAGGGTTATTTGTTCCTTTAGCATTAGGGTTTGGGTGATGGTATGGGGGTGGGACAAGTTTTAATGTTACATCCAGCATTAGGGTTAGGGTTAGTTCTAGGGTTAGAATTAGTTGAGGCTAATGTTAGGGTTAGTTAATTCTAGAGTTAGGCATATGTTTGGGGATTGGTGCTTGTTTAAGGATATGTTATGAATGTTAGCCTTCAGCCATGGATCTTTGCTGGGGTTAGAACCAGGGTTAAGTTTAAAGTTAGGTTTTGATGTGATGTGCTCTAGGGATAGGTAAGAGGTTATGGTTACAGCTAAAGTTATTTTAGAGTAACTACTGGAGTTAGATTGAGGGCTAGGATTAGGAAGGGAGTAACTATTTCTGTATAAGACTTGTTAGGAAGCCAGAGTGACAGTGTTTCGTTATATGATTTCCCGAGGGAGGCAAGAGTTAGATGTGCTCTGGGTACATCTCTAAAGGTGTGCGGGGTTTCCTCCCCCATCGCCAGGAACCGTTTACTTCAGGTCTACCTGGCTACTTCAATAAGCCTTAGACTGAATTTGTTAGTTGTTATTTAAGATAAGTAGTGTAAGTCGAATGTGGTGGGTGCATGCCATTAATCCCAGCACTTGGGAGGCAGAGGCCAGCCTAGTTGTACAGAGTGAGTTCCAGGACAGCCAGGGTCACATAGAGAAACCCTGTCTTGAGAAAAGAAAGGTTATGGTTTAATTGTGTGTGATGTATTTGTGTGTCATGTTGACAAGGGATCAATTGTGCCAGTTAATTTTTTTTTTTTTTTTTTTTTTTTTTTTTTTTTTGCTGATGACACAAGCTGGGAAGCCTAGCTCCAACAGGCAAGTTTGTGGGGCATTCTCTTGATTTTTTTTTTCCCCAGACAGGGTTTCTCTGGAACTAGCTCTGTAGACCAGGCTGGCCTGGAACTCACAGAGATCCACCTGCCTCTGCCTCCCGAATGCTGGGACTAAAGGCATGCACCACCAAGGCCCGGCTCTCTTGATTTTTTTTTTTTTTGAAGCAATTTATTTTTATTTCATGTGCACTCTTGTTTTGCCTGCATGTGTATCTGTGTGAAGGTATTAGATCATCTAAAACTGGAGTTACAGACAGTTATGAGCTGCCATACGGGTGCTAGGAATTGAACCCTGGGAGAGCAGCCAGTGCTCTTACCTCTGAGCCATCTCTCCAGCCCCAACATTCTCTTGATTAATGATTGATGTGGTAGGGCCCAGCCCACTGTATACAGTGATACCCGTAGGCAAGTGGTCCTGGGTTGTAAAGAAAGTAGCTCCAAGAAAGTCATGAAAAATCTAGCCAGTAATCAGAGTTCCTCTATGGTCTTTGCTTCAACTCCTGCCTCAGGGTTCCTGCTCTGACTTTCGTCAGTGACCGGCTGTGATGTGGAAGGGTGAGGTGAAACAAATCCTTCCCTTCCCACGTTGCTTTTTCTTGTGGTGTTTGCTACAGCAACAGAAAGCAGACTAGGACACTCGATGAAGCTGGGTTTCAGAAACAGCATCTTTTCGGTTTGTGTCCCAAATCGGGAAGGAGCAGCCTTTCCAGCTAATGGAGTAGGTAAAGTGAGGATTTCTTTCATGACCCTCCAGCGAGTGTCAGTGTTCATCTGATTTCTTTCCGTGGGCAGACTAGTTTGGCGCAAATCCTTGTTCTGAAGAAGCAATGAGAACCTTCTTCTTCTCAAGTATTTTAACCCCTTTTCATCTCCGAGGTTGCAGAAGCACTCAACTTAACCAGCACACTTGCTTGCGTGGGTAATTATTTGCTTAAATGATGCTGCGTTCAGACAAGTAACTGATTCTTTTTTAAACTGTGGGGCAGGTAGAGGCGGTATTGACACGCCCAAAGTTCTTCAGGCCACTGGGGTGATTTGTAAATCCTGTTAACTGAGTAAACTGTACCAGGAACTTCAAAACTCACATTTTTAGATAGGGTTAAGCTGCTGCATTATAGTTGGCTGGCTTGCTTCTGGAGAATTGGTTCAGACGGGGTTTGTATGTGTCCTTGTGGTATAAGTATGAGTATGCAAGTGTGTACACAGACATGGGGTGGCCAGCATGAGGTATCAGGTGTCTGTTGGCTCCTGCATCATTGATGCCTTAACTAAATGATAATTCCTGTCCGGGTACCACTAAGATGGTGGTTTTTAGATTCCAGTACAAACAGGTACCCGTCACAGAGTCATGGATTTGACTCAGGATATAATTACTGTGCCTAAGAGACCCCCCCACCCAAAATGCCTCTGATCTGTAAGCCACTTGTCCAAGGACAGACAGTTCCTGCGATGCTGGAGGCTATTGCTTCTGGGAGATAGCAAGCCACATATTTTCACTCCCCTGAATTAGTTTTTTGACCTATCCTCACCAGATGTGCTTGATCACACGTACACTTACCCCTGATTAGAAACACAAGTTGCTGCCAACCATGACTCAGGGAAACCTGGCCTGAGCCCATCCACCTGGCCAGTATTTAACTAAAGCTTACTTCAGATTTGGCTTTAAATAGCGGTAGTGTCGTATTCTCAACTGCAGGACTGGTAGAATAACAGTCATCTACATTTCTCTACCTTACTGCCTTGGCACACTAAGACCCTGTTGTGAGTGACTGTCTAAGCCAAGCAACCACCATCTTGGGGAGTTCACTAGTGACTGGGCTGACTGATGTAACACACACACACACTGTGCATACAAGGAATGTATGTATATATGTATGCATGTACAGTCTATATGTATGCCAGGGAAGACTAGGGCAAAGGCTCAATCTACTCACCCCTGTTGGGTATGGCTTTCCAGTCATTGGCAGAAGAATGCTCACAACCCTATGGAACCACAATAGATGTCTTGGTTCTGCAGAGTGAAGTTGTGGGTGTCAAGCAGAGGCTAGAAAGCCCACTGCTAACCTTTGCCAACTATCCATTTCATAAATACCCTCTCTGTAACAGTCTGAGCTCCTCCCTGGCCACCTGGCTGCTTGTGCCATGATGGCAGAGCTCGGCAGTTACAACAGAGCATCTACAGTCCATTAAGCCAAACAAGGTTCACCCTGGGGGCACCAGTGAGTTTATTTACAGATCATGGGTGACCCTCAACAGTGCACAGGAAGGTCAGTACCCAGCATGCGTGACTCCTTTATGGTTCTGCAGATGGATGCCTCTCCCCTTCCTTCAGTTCTCCCCACCAATATATTCATGGAGGCCACATGCAGTTAGGGCAGACTTGCATGCATGCAGTTTGAGCAGACTTGCATGCAACTGTCTGGGAGAAACCCCTGGATACTAGGGAATGTCAACAGCTAATAGGCTGAACTGTGGTGATCTTTTCCAAGCAGGCACAGTCAAAACTTTTATTTTCTTTAAATTTTTATTTATTTATTTATTTTTGGTTTCTCGAGACAGGGTTTCTCTGTGGCTCTGGAGGCTGTCCTGGTACTAAGTAGATCAGGCTGGCCTCGAACTCACAGAGGTCCCACCTGCCTCTGCCTCCCGCGTGCTGGGATTAAAGGTGTGGGCCACCACTGCCCGGCAACAGTTGAGCTCTTGAAGATGGAGTTTATCTGGGTCAGAGGGTAGAGGATAGACTGTACAGATCTATCAGGGGGCCTCCTCTTCTCCCTTTCATTCACTGGCTAAGGCTGTGTACACACTAGATCACATACCTGATGAATAACTGAGCGCCCATGTTGACAGATGGGTACTACGAACTTTGCCAGCCATTAGTATCTGGGCCATAAACTGAATTGAAATGATTTAAGTGGCTAAAGCCTATCTATTTTCTTTGTGTTTTTCCCCTCACTTTCTGTGGTGACGGGGATCTGTAAGGATGGAAAAATCCAGGGCTTTCCATATGCTAGGCAAGTGCCCTACCCTGAGCTATGCCATAGCCCCCGTATCTATTTTCAATTAACAAAAGCCAGAAAAGAAATACATAAAAAGTTTATTTTTCAAACTTTAAATTAGCAACTAGAGGGGATTCTTGCTTAACTTGATCTTTTCTTCTATGTTTGAAAAGTATTTCATCTTTGTTAGAATTTCCTTGGCTTTTTCAAAATCACCTGAAATAAACAAGAGACAATTAATTTCATCAGGCAACAATAAAACCAACTCCGGCATCTCAGGCAGCCAGATCAAAGGGCCCAAAGGTCCACGGCTTCACCTGAGGTTGAGTGTATCCTATAGCAACATTTGCTAAAATCTGGAGATATTTTTGTCTGCCATCACCAGGGATATAGAAGTGAGACCTACTGTACTAAAGGGCTGCAGCATTAGGAAGGATGAGAACCACTGGCTTAGAGGATATTAAGTTACACAGAAGTAAGCTTTTGATGGTCTCTCATACCAGACTATTGTTAGGGCCTATTCAGCCAAGTGTGATGGTGCATGCCTTTAATCCCAGCACTCAGGAGGCAAAGGCAGGTGGATCTCTGTGAGCGGAGGTCAGCCTGGTCTACAGAGTGAGTTCCAAGCCAGCCAGGACTATCAAGAGAGATACTGTCTCAAACAAGCAAACAAACAGGGGACTGGAGAGATGGCTCAGGGGTTAAGAGCACAGACTGCTTTTCCAGAGGATTGGAGTTTAATACCCAGCATCCCACAAGGCAGATCACAACTGTCTGTAACTCCAAGATCTGACACCCTCATACAGATACACACACAGGCAAAACACCAATGCACATAAAATAAAAATGAAACAAACAACAATAACAACAACAACAAAAAAGTCCCCAACCCCAATGTGCATGCTGGCTCATAGGTTTTGGATTTCCTCTTTCTTTGTAATCTTTGTTGCATCCAGATCACTCTCCTCATTGCTTTTACATTTAATAAAGTGAAAGTGCTGGAGAGATGGACCAGGGTAAGAGCTCTTGTTACTCCTGAGCAGAGTTCCATGCATCAGGCACACATACATATCTACAGGCAAAACACTTCCTTACATAAATTAATTTTTAAAAAATTTTTCTAGATAGGGTTTCTCTGTAGTTTTGGAGCCTATCCTGGCACTCAGTACACCAGGCTGGCCTTGAACTCACAGAGATCTGTCTGTCTCTGCCTCCCGAGTGCTGGGATTAAAGGCATGCACTTCTACTGCTTAGCAAATGAAAAACATTTTATAAAGATTTATTTATTATGTACACAATGCTCTGTCGGCATGTATCCCTGCAGGTCAGAAGAGGGCATCAGATCTCATTACAGATGGCTGTGAGCCACTATGTGTTTGCTGGAAAGTGAATTCAGGACCTCTGGAAGAGCAGCCAGTACTTTTAACCTCTGACACATTTTTCTAGCCCACTAAAAAGATTTTTTAGTAAGAAGAAAATTAGAATTAATAGATCAAAATTAAAAGGCCCAGTGAGATGGCCCCAGTGGGTAAAGGCCTTTATTTGCTGCTGAACCTGACAGCTGGAGTTTGATTCCAGGAAACAACGGCACAGTAGAAGAAAATTCTTGAAAGTTGTCCACACATGCCCCCCCCCCCAACACATACACTACATAAATGTAATAGGAAATTTTTGAAAGGAATGAAAATACCTTGTTCAAAAGCTCTGTTTACACTATCAGTAAATTCTTTCTGTTTCGCTGAAAGAGAAAAATAATTAGTTTAATTTTTCCACTTAAATAAACTTACAATAAAGCTGGATGGTGGCAGGGCATGCCTGCAATGCCAGCACTAGGGAGGCAGAGGCAGGCAGATCTCAGTGAGTCAGAAGCTAGCCTGGTCTATAAAACAAGATCCAGGACTGACAGAGCTGTTACACAGGGGACCCTGTCTTGAAATGCTCTCCAACCCCCCAGAAAAGAAATGAAAAAAGTAGACTCACAATATCAACAGTTTGTGACCATGCTGTTCTATGTTAAGACTTGGGTTCAGGGTTTTACGACCTTTGTCTTTTTCTGGAGCTGAGGGCTGTACCAAGGCCTTGTACATGCTATGCAAAGTCTCCACTGCTGAGCTACACTTCGTGCTTGCCAGGCTGGCCTTTGAACTCTATTCTGCCTGCATCTTGACTGCTGAGATTACAGGTATGTGCCATCACACCCATCTAGATGCTCTTGTTAAATGAGGTACTGACAGGCCCTATGCACATTCTGCTCTTCAACCAAGGAACTGCCAAGGCTTGTAAAGTGGCTATGGAATAACATAAGGAAAACAAAAACAAAAACAAGAAAACGGAGAGATCACCATAGTCTGAATGTCCCTCCCCAAAAAGTCTGGATGTTAAAATGTTTGGCTAGTGACCGGTTTTGCTAATAGAAAGGGGTGGACATTTGAGGAGGCAGGGGGCCTGGATGGAGGAGGTTAGGACTTTAGAGGCATGTTCTGGAAAGGGATCCTGGGACCCAGGCTCTGTTTTCTCTTTTTGGCTAGCTGCTTTAATACTAGTGCCTCCTCCATTCTGCATTCATTCCTGCCCCAGCCCCAGGGGGAAACTGGGCCAATTCACCACAGACTGAACCTCTAAAACTGTGAGTTAAAAGAAACCTTTTCATTTCAGGGTATTGTCTCACTGTGATGGAAAGATAACTAGCAAGGGAATCAGGGATGTGCTGTGACCATCTCTACCTCAAAGTCTTCCATACTTTGACACCCTACAATCATGGCATTTACTACCACTCATTACCAAGTGTTTTAAGCAACCACTTGCAAATGATATAGCCATCCAGGAAAATGAAACCATTTCCATCATATTGTATCTTAGAAGGGAAAAATGCCAAATGCAAAGCAGGTACAACAACCTCATTTACCTATTGCGGCTTATTAAAAAAAAAAAAAAAAGGCATTTTGCTGGGTGCTGGTGGCACACACCTTTAATCACAGCCTGGTCAAGGCCAACCTGGTCTACAGAGTGAGTGCCAGGATAGACAGTGCTACACAGTGAAACCCTGTCTCGAAAAACCAACCAACACAAACAAAAAACAAAAAAGGAAATGAGGGGTTTTTACAAGTATTTAACCATATTTACTTAGAATCTTTGAAAACATTTCAGATGAATTGTATGTCCAAGGTAGGCAATGACAGGTATGGAATTCTTGCTTAGGCACATGGCTGGTGAGTGCGGGAGTTGGGAAATGGATTCCAGAGGAAGATATTTAGCAACTGATCTAAACCCAGCACCTACTATGCTGCTAGAAGTGTTTCTTTCACTTGCTTCATCTGCACCTCCTCAACTTAATCCTTACGATACTCAACTAATGCTGTCCTTTTTATAGATGAAGACACTGAGGCCCAGACAAAGAAACCAACAGCAATGTTGGGACCAGTGCTTGCCCTGGAGCTTTATGTGAGTAAAACTCTGGACTGGATGATGCATGAAGCTTCTGGATGAGCGTAGCCCACCTCTGACTGCACACTTATGTCTGCTGTGGACTCTGGGGTTATCTTCATCTGATAGGCTGCTCAGCACTGTTGGAGCATATTTAACAACCATCGGCAGACACAAGTTATACTCCTGCAGAGAACCCAGTATGGGACGTCCAAGCTGCTGACTTTCCGGACAGCAGTAGCCAAAGGCAGAGACAGAGAGGACAAAGGAGGCTTCCTGAGGAGTTGATGATAGCTACCAGGCTCGGGAGAAGAGTTAACATGGGTGTGGTGAAAGGACTAGGGCTCCAGGCTGCATCAACAGTGCTCACAAAGGCCTGGGTAGAAGAGCGCCTGCGGCTGATGAGGGAGTGGAAGCTGCCAATGTGGCTACAGTGAGATGGTAAAGCAAGAAGCAGAGGGCGGAGCATGCAGGGCCTCGTCAGTTATGACGAAATGTTTGTTTTTAAACCTAAGGGCAGTGAAAGTCCATTTTAACGTTTTTAGAGAAGGCTGTGAACAGTGATTTAGGCTTTAAGACGACCCCACAGTGACAGGGCTGATATATCTTAGATGGGTTTCCAGGTACAAGCAGAGTCTGAAGCTACTGTGGTTGGTCAGAAGTAAGAGGAATCGATTTCAGGTAGTGAAAAAGAGATTGGCAGATGAAGTTGAGACGTGTTTAGGTAATACTTTTTTTTTTATATTTTTTAAACTACATTTACGTGTATATTTTTTAAAACTGCATTTACGTGTATTTGTGTGTGTGTGTGTGTCAGGAGGGGTATGTGCATGCTATGGCATGAATGTTGACATAAGAACATGTGGTTCCTGGGGTTGTCAGATTTGGTAGCAAGCACATAAACTCTGAACCATCCTGCTGGCTTTAGGTCTATCCTTTTAATATTTCTTTCTTTCTTTCCTCATTTATGTGTATGTTTGTGTGCCCATGTGAGCACATCACACATGTAACTCCAGAATCCAAATCGGCCAGAAAATGGCATCCATAACTCTTGTAAAGGATGTTTGTGAGCCACTGCAGGTGCTGGGGATTCAACTCAGGACCTCTGCAAGAGCAGCCAGTGTAACTTCTGAGCCATCTCTCCAGCCCACCCTAGGTCTGTTTTGTAAGGGTGCTAATTAATGTACTGACTGTGAGTGCATAGTTGAGTAAGTTTTCATTGTTTTTTCTGAGACAGGGCTCACATATAGCCCAGGCTTTCCTGGACACAGCTATGTAGGTGAGGCTATCCTTAAGCTCCAGATTCTTTTGCCTCCATCTTCCAAGAGCTGGGATTATAGGCATGTCCAACTGCACCTAGCATAAGCTTGTTAAAGACAACTCAGTGTTTACTTTTGCTCTCAACTACATGGAAGCATGAATGAATTAAGAGAGGGAACAGGGGGAAAAGGCTCACATCCTTTGATGAAGACAGATAGGTAAAACTCATGAGTTCTAACTGGACACACTGGTTGGAATATATAAGCTTTCTTTCCTTGATATATTCCTGGGCACACATGGTGCTTGAGCCACAACAGGCATACATACATACATACATACATACATGTGTAATACATACATACATATTTTTGAAACAGGGTTTCTCTGTAGCTTTGGAGGCTGTCCTGGAGCTAGCTCTTGTAGACCAGGCTGGCTTCGAACTCACATATATCAGCCTGCCTCTGCCTCATGAGTGCTGGGACTAAAGGCGTGAGCCGCCGCTGCTGCCACCACCACCCGGCTCACAATAGGCATATTATAATATTTTTATGAAAGTACTGAAGCTCATAGCTACACAAAAATCCTGGAACCTTTTCTACACAAAATGGTTAATCTTATATGACAGTCTGTGATCGTCCCATAAGTAGGCCAGGCTGTGATCGCTTTTTCTTGTTGTGGCTACAGTAATGTGTATAGTCAGCTGAGTGTATGTAGAGATCACCCTTGTACTGGCAAGTCTTATGTCAACCTGACACAAGTTAGTCATTTGAGAGGAAGGAACTTCAGTTGAGAAAATGCCCCAATAATACTGGGCTGTAGGCAAACCCTTAGGGCATCTTCTTTTTAAAGATGGTTTATTTTTATTTTATGTGCATTAGTGTTTCGACTGTGTGTGTGTGTGTGACAGTATCAAATCCCCTGGTGCTGGAGCTATAGACGGTTGAGAGCTGCCACGTGGGGGATGGGATTTGAGCCTGTGGAAAAAAGCAGTGAGTGCTCTTAACTGCTGAGCCATTTCTCCAGCCCTGGGGAATTTTCCTAATTAATGATTGATGTGGGAGGGCCCAGCCCATTGTGGGTGGTGGCATCTCTGGGAGGTGGATCTGGGTTCTTGCCTTGCCCAGCCTGAATAGAGGGGGAGGTGCTTAGTTTTGATACGCCATGCTGTATTGATGCCCATGGGAGGCTTGTCCCTTTTTGAGGAAATACAGAGGGGGTGGATTGAGGGGAGGCAGTGGAGGGAAGGAGTGGGAGATTATGAGACAGGGGAGGCTGCAGTGGGCATGTAAAATAAGAAAGAAAAGGAACAAAATGGGAAAAAGAAAGCAAGTTGAGCAAGCCAGTTAGGTAGCAGTTATATAGCTTCTGCTTCAGTTACTACCTCAGATTCCTGCCCTGACTCCCTCAGCGATGGACTGTTACTCTGACATATAAGTATTTACTTCAACAAACCATAAACCCTTTCCTCTCCACATTGCTGTTGGTCATGGGGCTTTAGTGCAGCAGTAGAAACCCTGACTATGATAACCCTCAACACTAGCATTTACTCAGCAGGTTTAAGTCCCTGGTTTAGATCCTAAGCACCCACAAGAGACATATTCAAGACCGCGACGAAAAAATACAACCTGAGTTTTCAGCCTGTTGTCCTGCCCTACAGATTTTCTTTTGTGTGTGTATGCAATGTGTATTTGCAGGTACACGTGTACCGGTGTGTATGTATGTGCATGCTTGTGTGTATGTGCGCGTGCAAGTGTGTCAAGGCCGTGTGTCATTTAGGCAGGCACCATTATTTTTAAGATGACATTTACTTAGTGAGTGAGACATCGAGGAAGAGAGAGCAAAAGCGAGTCTGTCTGTGTGCCACGGCACCTGTGTGCCACGGCACCCGCGTGGAAGCCAGAGACTGCTTGTGGGACTAAACTTGAGCCCTCATGGTTGTGCAGCAAGCACACATGTACACAAGCACCTTACCACGCCAGGTCTTGCCTGCAGTTTCTGTGTCAGCCTACACACACACACACACACACACACACACACACACACACCTGGGTCAATTCTGTGAAATAAATAGACTTATACTCTACTGGTTTTCTAGAGAACGTTGACACACTATGGGACCAGAGTGTAAGGGTTTCTTTCAGTGATTGCCCTGCTGCAGATCTCTGTGTGATTGGAGGCATTTCTGCCAACTTTGGGGGGCTCATTTTTGTCACTAGAGATGACCGGGAAACATGAACTCCCCAAATGATGATGAGGGCTGACTCCTTTCTCCTGGAACTTGGTCAAGTGCTCCTAAGAGCAACAAAGCACATGTGTGAGGCCCTCATCTATTACCTCTGACAGTGGATTCTAATTCTTCCATAGCAGCCTCACTCTGAGCATCTGTGAGTTTCTCGTTGATTTCCATTATTTCTGCAAGGAACTGACCGTCTGTTCCATAATCAGTTCCTTCAGGGATTTCTATTCCTTGGAGCTTTAGCTATTGGGGAGAACAAGGAAAATGAAACAGATCAGGTTAAGTAAGTTCTGCTCACCCCTTCAGGATACACTGATGCTAACAGAGGAAGATGTGAATATTGGTTGGAGAAGGAGCCTAATGCCTGGTGCATTCTGAGTAATTCTCTACCACCTGAGCTATCCCCGGAGTAACAAAAGCACAGACTGAGCCAAAAGTGCTGGTACAGGACCTCTGTTGACTGCAGCCGGGCTTTGTACTTCTACTCAAACGTTAAAATATTTACAGACATTCTATTTGATTCTAAAATTGCCTAGATGTGCTCTTACCAACGTCAGATTTATAGATACTAGTTAAACAATGCAAAAGATCCAGGCATGGTGGTACAGCTGCATTCCCAGTTACTTTGGAGGCTGGGGCAGGGAGGTTACAAGTGAAGTCCAGCCTGGGCAGCTGAGTGAGACCCTGTTTTAAGAAGTAAAAAGGAAGCTGGGTGGTGGTGCATGCCTATAACCCCAGCACTTGGGAGGCAGAGGCAGTTGGATCTTTGTGAGTTCAAGGCCAGCTTGGTTAACCAAGTGAGTTCCAGGACAGCCAGGGCTGTTAAAGACAAGTAAAAAGGCAGCTGGGTATATGGTTCAGTGGATTCAAAACCTAGCACACCACACCATACATACACACAAAAACAAACCCAAAGGAACCAAAGAAAAACCCAGTAATAATCAGAGTCCATGGCTCGGCGGCAGAAAACTTAGCATGAGGCACTAGGTTCAATGCCCAATACTGAAGGAAAAAAAGCTACAAAGGAGCTGGATGTGGGTGAGGTGAAGGAAGAAAATTAGTCACCTGAAGCCAGCCTGAGCTATACAGTGAGATCCTGTGTCAGAAGAAACAAAAACAAAGCAAAATAGACCTACAAAGAATACTGCAAAAATTATACTTGTATAAACTCTTTTTCTTTCTGTTCTCTTCCATAGTATTTTTTGAGGCTAAATATCAAGAGTTTCCTGGACTAGGCCAGGACTCGTACAGAGGAAGTCACATACAGATGGGCTGGGAAATCACCTTACAAGGTATAGTCCCCTGCTCAGGGGAGACTGAAGAGTCTTATAGGCATCATTCACCAAGGTCGAATGCTTCTCTGAGAAGTGTTTTTCAGTCTGTTCATAAGAGATAAAAACAGTTTTATTACCACAAGAGCCAGTCCTCTTTGATTCCCAAGCTTTTATAGTACAGTGATGGGCAGGGATTTAAGAAGCACTGCCAAAATTACTGCTGTTGGATAAGTAGTCTGTATTTTCAACGGACGGATGGGTTTTCAGTTATCTGGGAAGGCAGATAAAAGCTGTAAGGAAATGACATCTGTGGGGCCTGGCTGTCTAGGGGCAGGCTGCCACAGGGTGGAGCTAGTAGGCCTGTTTTCGCAGATCAAAGCTGCTATCCACCCAGTTGCACACATATATGGGGAATATCAGGGGTGGTCAGTGAATACCTGAGACTTTTGGCTGAAGAAATCTGGGTGGACGAGACGTTGTAGTTGCTGGTACCTGCGCTGAAGCTTCACGACGTCAACCCTGAAGGATCGGTGGCTGGAAGGAAACTAGATGTCATTCATCCAACAGTATTAAGCATCATAGTTCTGCTCTTGGGGGAAGATGTAATGAACACATAAACAAGGATTATTGTATTTCTTCTGAGACAGGGTTTTTCTGTGGTTTCAGAGGCTGTCCTGGAACTAGCTCTTGTAGACCAGGCTGGTCTCGAACTTAGAGATTCCCCCCTGCCTCTGCCTCCTGAGCACTGGGACTAAAGGTGTGGACCACCACTGCCTGTCGACAAGGGCTATTTTTTCAGACATGTTAGTTGTAATGGAGGAAAACAGAACAGGATCAGAGTAGGTAATGCAGGAAAGACATTTAAGAGACTTGAATTGTGCTACTACTTAACAACCAAAGATCAGAAAGGAAAATGAGTGGACAGACATGTAAGTGCAGAGACCCTGATGTGACTGGAAGATGAACAGCTTGATAAACTAAGGGATAAGGTTAGTGTGGTCCACTGTAAGCACTGTGACAGATGAAAATGTGTAACAGTTTAAAGCACTTGCTTAGCCTGCATGTCCCTTGATTCCTTTTTATCCCCCCCTGTGCTTAAGAGCTAGTCCCAGGACAGGCTCCAAAGCAACAGAAACCCTGTCTCGAAAAACCAAAAAGAGTGAATCTAGGGTCTCCTGCATGCTGTGCAAGGACGTTAGCACCGGCCACTTTTTACTTTTTTATCATGAGACAGAGTTTCTTAACTAAGGTACCCAAGCTGACTCTGAAGTCACTCTACTCCAGGCAGGCTTTGACTTGCAATAAGCCTACTTTAGTGTCCCTGATCGCTGGGATTACAGGCCACCTGGCCTAGAGCCTTGGCCATTAAAAGAAAAATGTGTGTGTGTGTTTGTGTGTGTGTGTGCATGTGGTAAGATCTTGTGTACCCCAGGCTAGTCTCAAACTTGGCATATGCCAAGATCGACCTACCACTCAGGATTTCCCACATATGATAACAAACCCAGTTTATGAGCTTAATTTAAAAAAAAAAAAAGTTGAGTGTGGCTAATTTGCTCAGGGCTGAAAATTTTTCTTTTCTGTTTTTTTCAAGTCAGGGTTTCTCTGTGTGTAGCCCTTGATGCCCTGGAACTCACTTTGTAGACCAGGCTGGTCTTGAACTCACAGAGATCCACCTGCCTCTGACTCCCAAATGCTGGGATTAGAAGTGTGTTCGACAACTATCAGGGCTGAAATCTTTAATCGTTCTTCAGCTTTCTGAATAGCTGGAATTACAGGTAGAGACTACCAGACTGAACCATTAATATCTAGAAGGAGGCTTTAAAAAAAGCATAGTACTGGGATTCTAACCCAGGCCCTTGCTGACATACAGGAAGTGTTGCATTACTGAGCCAAAGTGAGGATTAAGCACTTACTCTACTTTCTTTTTTGGGCAGTGGTAGTGTTTGGGGGAGTCAGACTGTGACTCTGTGTAGCCCAGACTGTACGATTTTCTTATTCTTGGCTGGGACAGGTGTTCGAAACCACACCTCGACGTCCTTCCATATTTAATATAATCTTTATTAGCTTAGCTCTGCTCACAGTTTCGTACCGGAAGAAAAGGCAAGGGGAAACAAATCATGCCAAACATTTCTTGGCCTCTCTCCCTCAAATCTTGAGCCTGAATTTTTATTTATTTATTTATTTATTTATTTTTTTTTGAGACAGGGTTTCTCTGTATTACTTTGGAACCTGTCCTGGAACTAGCTCTGTAGTTCAGGCTGGCCGCAAACTCAGAGATCCTCCTGTGTCTGCCTCCCCAGTGCTGGGACTAAAGGTGTGCACCAACACCCAGATAAAATTTTGGTTTCTTGAGACAGAGGTCTCACTGCTTAGCCTTTGTTGGCCTCCAACTTGTGACCTTTCTCATTTATACCTGAATACTGGGATTCCAGACATATGCCACCACATTTGGTTTGTTTAATTCTTTTTAAAGACAGGGCTTCCCTGAGTAGCCTTGGAGATCTTTGGACTTGCTTTGTAGACCAGGTTGGGAACTCACAGAAATCTGCCTGCCTCTGCCTCCCGAGTGCTGGGATTAAAGGTGTGTACTAACACCCAGCAGTTTGTTTTATTCTTAATTGCTTTTGATTTTGAGACCTGGCCTCATGTAGCACAGACTCTCATCAAACTCACTGTATAGATCAGGTTGCCCTCAAATCTGTAATCCTCCTGCTTTAGCCTCTGAGTGCTGGGCTCACAGGCATATACCAACATAGCTGGCTTGTTTTGTTTTTATTTTCTCCTTTTATTTGAAATAAGGATGTTGTATTTTTTTGTGTTTGGGCTCCTACTACCTTAGCTCAGATGCTTTTAGTCCCAGCACTGGGGAGGTAGAGGCAGAACTATAAGGTGAAAAACTTTGCTCCTTTCTGCTCCCTAGAATTCAGCCTTTGTATTTCCCTTTTCCAGGAGTCCCACCCTTCAAACCTCCCTATACTGTAAACTTGCGCCTGTTTCTTTTTGTTACTGTTGCTGATGTTTAAAAAAACAAAGCCTTTGTAGCACAGGCTAGTCCTGAATTCCTGCACCTCCCGTCTCCCCTTCGCAACTGCTTAGATAGCGGGCATCCGCAAGTTCAAACCTTTCACCCACACCTCCACCCTTAACTTCTTTCTAGTTAGTAACTTTATTTCCTCTTTCTCAGGCAAACTCCTAAAATCTCAACAGGTACTATATTATACAAATGGCCTATATACTTAATTTTTTTTTTCTGTTTTGTTTGTTTTGAATCCGTCTCAGTAGGTTGCCTGAACTGGCCTGGAACCGTGGTCGTCCTGCCTCAGTCTCCCTGCTGGCTGGAAACGACAGGCCCGCCGACGCTGACCAGGGTAATGCCAGCCTAATTTAACTAGCACGGCCGTACGAACTCCCCAAGGTCCACTCGCCCTCCCGGCACTCCGCGCCGCGCGTACCAATTCATGAGGCTGAAGTAGTCCCGAGTCTGATCAGGAGGCTGCAAGGCGCGGCAGTGATGGCAGAAGAGCCCATCCCCACTCTCCACACCCCCCGGGCTGCCGCACTTCCAACACCGGCCCGCACCGCTCTTCCCCGAGGCGGCGTTGCTGCTCAGCAGTCTCCTTCCCAGGAACCCAGCCAGTCGCACCTCCCACACGCAAAGCACAGCCCTGCAGCCCCACATCCGCACAGCCGCCTGGGTCGAGGGACCCGAGGGAAAGGAAGCAAGAGTGACTCGCTGCTGATTGGTTTAGCGAGCCGAGGAGGCGGGATCGGCCGCGGAAAACCAGGATGCCGAGTCCCGTTCCGCATCCTAAACTACAACTCCCAGCAAGCCTTGAGGCCGCGCCGCGGCAGCCACATTCGGGTCTCCTCATTGGTCGTGACGAGCAGGAAGGCGTTTTGATTGGCTGAGGGGGGAGTTTGTATGGGTAGCTTTAGCGCCACGCCACTGGCTGCGGCGGTGTGGCGTGTGTTGTGGCTCCAGGTGTTCTTTGCGGTGAGTCTTTCTTTTCGCGGGAAATTTTTCTAGACTGTCTGAGGATTCGAATCGCATTCTCTGGGTTTTCTGCAAGGGGGCCCTCCGCAGCTTCCGCCTGCTCTGTGTGTGCGCGCAGGCGACTCTTCCTTTTTTTTTTTTTTTTTTTTTTTTTTTTTTTTTTGCTGTTCTTCGAGGGGGACACATTCTCTTGTTACATCTTACAAGCTGAGACAGGTCTGGACACATGGGTAAGGCACAGGGCTCTTCGGTGCCAGAGAGCGAAGTCGTTTCCATAACGAGTATTATAAATGTTGGTGATCATGCCAGGCCCGTGGTCCATTCTTCCCAGATATTTACCGAGAACCACAACCTTCGCTGCTAGACTCTGCAGGAACTGGGTTGGGCACGTAAGAAAGTGTGTGGGGTAGGGTGGCAAGGAGCGGATAGGAGGGAACCAGCGATTCTCAGCTTCTGTGCACGAAGGAAAGGCGGTACTGCGCTGTGTAAGTGCCAGATAAATTCCATTCGTGATCGTGGGATTTTTGCAGCGGTCACTTTTTTTTTTTTTTTAAACTCATCAATGGTTCTGCCCTACTGAGGTGGTCATGTGCCTGTTCCTTTAACATTTCTTATTTTTTAATTACATCCTGTGTCTGGGTGAGTCTGCGCAGTACGCAGGGAGGCCAGCAGAGGGCAGTATATTCCCCAAGAGCTGGAACGACAGGTTTTTGTGTGCTCCTGGATGCGGGTGCTGGGAACTGGACTCAAAAAAGCAACATGTGCTCTTCTTAACCGCTGCGATGTCTCTCCAGCCCCTTAATATACCCATTCTCCGCTTTGAATGTTTGGTGACACTCGGCACGGAGTATGCTTCTTCAATTGAGTTATATTTACATCCTCCACTCATCTTTGGGTAAAAGATGTATCTTATTTTTAATTACGTTATGTGCGTAGGAGTGTGCACACAGGAGTGCAAGTGATTGCGTAGGCCAAGAGAGGACTTCATACCCACTGGAGTTGGAGTCACAGGCAATCTTGAGCTGCCGGAACTTGGGTGCCGGGAACTCACTGAACTTTTGGGTTCTGCAAGAACAGCTCTACAACAATAGTGTTCTTTGCTGCTGCGTCATCTTTCCAGCTTCCTTTCTTCGTTCTTGAATTTTAGGCCTTGCTCCTTGAACCTCCCCTCATTGTTGGACACCGTTTTTTTTTGAGGTCGGGTATGAAGAATCAGCAGTCCCACGGCAGCACTTCCTCGAAGGCCCATGGCAGTGGTTACTGTTCCCAGTCCCAGGGTGGCTTCACCCAGTCCCAGGGTGGCTTCACCCAGTCCCAAGGCACTTCCTCTCAGTTGCACGACTTCTCCTCACAGTCTCAAGGCACATCCAGTTCCTCCGCCAGCACCGTGCCTTCCTCCAGCCAGTCTTCTCATTCCAGCTCTGGCACGCTGAGCTCTTTGGAGACAGTGTCCACTCAGGAACTCTGCTCTATTCCCGAGGACCCAGAGCCCGAGGAGCCTGGGCCTGTCCCTTGGGCTCGGTTATGGTCTCTTCAGGATGGATTCTCCAATCTGGGTAAGGCGTTTTGTTATATAATATAATGTATTTATTGTTCAGGGAAACCAGGGTGAGGGTAGGGTGTTTGATTGTTGTAACAGAAATCTCAGGGCCCCTGTAACTAGTAGAGGTGATTAAAAAAAAGTTAAAAAAAAAAAAAAAAAGATGGAAGCCGGGTGACTCCCAGCATTTGGGAGTCAGAGGCAGGTGGATCTCTGTGAGTTCAAGACCAGCCTGGTCTAAAAGAGCTAGTTAGTTCCAGGTCAGCCTCCAAAGCAACACAGAGAAACCCTGTCTCGAAAAACTAAAAAAAAAAAGAGAGAGAGAGAGAGAGAGAGAGAGAGAGAAGGTCTCATAGCCTGGGATGACCTTGAACTCACTATGTAGCTGAACTTGGCTTTGAACTCTTGATTTTCTTGCTTCTACTTCCCAAGTGCTGGCTTTATAGGCATATATTACCAGGCTCTACTTTGGTGTCCCCCCTCCCTGGTTTCTCTGTGTAGTTTTGGCTGTCCTGGAACTCACTCTGTAGACCAGGTTGGCCTCAGAGTGCTGGGATTAAAGGTGTGCGCTGCCACTGACTGGCTACTCATTTGTTTTTGAGACAAGAAATTGTGCAGCCTAGGTAGACGTGCAGTTTACTATGTAGTTCTTCATGGCCTTGAACTTCCATTGATCTTGTCTCAGCATACTGAGTAGCTGGGATTACACATACCAAGTATACCTGGTTCAAATTTATACATTTGTATGTGGAGTTCCAGTTGATCCAGAGCTATTTCTGAAAGACCCTTGTATTATTCAGGGTTCTCTAGAGGGACAAAACTGTTAGAAGTGATATTCATTATATATTTTCCTTTTATAGAAATTACTTATTTATTTTTATTTTATGTGTATTGGTATTTTGCCAGCATGTGTGTCTGTCTGTGAGGCTGTTAGATTTTGCAGTTACAGACAGTTGTGAGCTGCCATATGGGTGCTGGTAATTGAGTCCAGATCCTCTGGAAGAACAGTCAGTACCTTAACTGAGCTATTTCTCCAACCCCCTATATATTCATCCTTATGAGAGTGGCTTACAGGTTGTGGTCCAGCTAGCCCAACAATGGCTATCCATGGGAGGTCCAAGAATATAGCAATTAATCAGTTCATAAAGCTGGATGTTTCAGCTGGTGTTCAGTGTACACCATAATCCTGTTGAAGTAGGTTTTAATGCCGGCGAAGGAATGGCCTTGCCAGTAAGAATGAGAGCAAGCTTCTTCTTCTTCTTCCGTACCTTTATATAGGCTGTCAGCTGAAAGTATGGTCCAGGCTAACGGTGGATCTTCCCACCTCAAAAGATCTGCATTAGGCAGGTGGTGGTGCCGGGAAGCTGGGGTAGTCAGAGTTCTTGAGTTCAAGGCCAGCCTGGTCTACAGAGTGAGTTCTAGCACATCCAGAGCTACACAGAGGAACCCTGTCTTGAAAAAACCAAACCAAAACAACCCCTACCCTCCCCCAACAATAAAATTATTACAGGGGGATTTATTAAATTGGCATACCCAATATGGTCTGGATAGCTCATTGATAGTTCTTTTCATGATGCAGAAATTGAGAGCCCAGTAGCTGCTCAATCTGCAAGGTTGGATGTCTTAACACTCAAAATTTGGTACTGATAGCCTGGAAGATTCCAGATCCAAGAGGCAGCAGAAATCATGGTATAGAATGTACTTACCAGCAAGAAGTGACAGCAAACTAGCAAGCAACTCTTTTTCCCTTGGCCCTTTTCTTTATTCTTCATTTCATTATTATTATGTACACAGTATTCTGCATGCGAGTATCCCTGTAGGCCAGAAGAGGGCACCAGATTTCACTGCAGATGGTTGTGAGCTACCATGTGGGTGCTGGGAATTGAACTCAGGACCTCTGGAAGAGCAGCCAGTATGCTCTTAACCACTGAGCCGTCTCTCTGGCCCGTCTTCATTTTTGAGACAGGGTTTCTCTCTGTGGCTTTGGAGCCTATCCTGGCACTCTGTAGACCAGGTTGGCCTTGAACTCACAGAGATCTGCCTGCCCCTGCCTCCCGAGTGCTGGAATTAAAGGCGTGCGCCACCAATGCCCAGCCTGCACATGTCTCTTTTGACATTGCCTTTCTGTGTAGGTAACAGTGGCCTTGAGCTTGTGCCTTCTTGTGAGCCTCTCAAATGTTGGGGTCAAATGAGCATCTCTTCACTGAATTGTTTCCTCCCTACAGTTAGCACTACTGAAGAATGTTTGATGCATCAAATTCCAGTCCTCTGCTATGTGCTTTTGTATTCACAGACTGTATTAACGACAACTACTGGTTTGGGAGGGATAAAAGCTGTGAATATTGCTTTGATGGGCCGCTGCTGAGAAGGACTGATAAGTATCGGACCTATAGCAAGAAGCACTTTCGAATTTTCAGGGTAGGTGACAGCTAACCTCTCTCCTTGGAGATCTAGTGATCTGGTCATTGCTCTTGAGTGTCTTTCATCATTAATCCCTGGTGTTAAAACATGGAAATTAAATGTTCTCTATTTTAGGAAATGGGCCCTAAAAATTCTTACATTGTGTACATAGAAGATCACAGTGGGAATGGAACCTTTGTGAATACTGAGCTTATAGGGAAAGGAAAACGCCTACCTTTGAGTAACAACTCTGAAATTGCACTTTCGCTATGTAGAAATAAAGGTAATATTATTATCATACTGTTAATGGGCTTTTCTTAACTTCCTCTGTAAAGGGAAATGTTTGTGCCTTTATAGGTTATGCTTTAAATCTGTCAAATTAAATAAGTTAGCATTCAGTAGCTTTCAGGAGTTAACTGCCATTGTTCATGGTGTGTTTTTCCTTTGTTTTAGAGACAAGGTCTCACTATATGGCTGTCCTGGAACTCACTCTATAGACCAGGGTGGCCTTGAACTCAGAGATTTGCCTGCGTCTGCCTCGTTAGTGCTGAGTGTTTGTGTGTGTGTGTGTGTGTGTGTGTGTGTGTGTGTGTGTGTGTGTGTGTTAGTGCAGGTGTGGAGGCAGGTGTCTTACTCTGTCTTATCTCCACCTTATTTACATTTATTAATTTTGTGTGTGTGAGAGAGAGAGAAAGAGAGAGATATTTGTATATGTGCTTACATGTTACAATATGAATGTAGTGGTCAGAGGACA